CAACCAATATATGTGAATTAAAGTTAGACTGCACCTCATAGCATAAACTAGATGTTATGTGAACTTGGTAGCTAAGTGATGACGTGGTGCGTGTTGAATGTGAATACTATCATAGGCAGGGCCTAATCAGCATCTATCAACTAATATTAACTATAAAAGCTATTGGATTCCAGGTAGCCTTGAATGAATGAAAAGTGACTTATATAAGCTGGGTAGTTCGTTTTTCAGAGACGTCAGGGGTATTCAACACTACTGATAGTTCTTAGACTGGGACGAAATTAGTTTCAAGTCATATTTTCTCTAGATGAATCAGAATTGTTGCAACACCCATCCGCCTTAAAGCTTATTACGATGAGACTATAATTTATGGATGATCTTTTAGCGATATAAAAGTTACCTCGAGAAACTTAAATTATTAGGTTCAGAATAGGGTCATGAGTTAGTATGAGGAATTAGGATTAAGAGTTAGGATTGTCATCACGACATCATCTCTAATGACAGGATGGTATTTAGCAATATGGATGATTGAGTTTCGCCAAAATCCAATCGCCTTTTTTTGAAATCTGCTTAAAGTGAAAGGTATTGGGTTCATGTTTCACTGTGAGCATCAAAACCAAAATGCACGAGTCCTGAAAGGGATGAAACATTCGTTCTGAATTCCCCTAATAGTCACTAATCAGTTTCAATAACATTCTGTTTGAAAATCAAATAAGATCTATTATTTACGCTTCTGTACAACGATGTTTTTCGATTTTCCCGACTACAGTTTATCTTGGTTATTTCACTATTTCATTCTTCATATACACCATTTGAGTTTATCAGTACAATCAACACAATTCTTTCTCGTCCTTGAATATAAATCTATATAAACAGTGAGTAGTTATTTTATATTAAAGACTGCTTAGTAACTTGCACACAAGACCTTACAAATGACTGAACTCAAAGTCTGGTAGTTGTCATTTAAAAGATATTCAAGTGCTATCACATCAGTTTAGTGTTAATTAATCGTTAATAATTTTTTATGTTTTCCAAATCAACATAGTGATGTTTGAGTCTTTTTCTCAAAACGTGCATCAACACTTGACAAATAAAAATTAATCAGTTATACAACGACGTTATCATAACTGACCTGAAGCAATTAACGCATTCTACTCTTGATAGCTTGAAGACGAATTCACAGGTCTTTAACTTATAGCTTAATCGTACATTGGTTAATTATAATGACCACTTTTTATAGTTTGATGCTGAAAGATCAGAAATTAACAAGGACAACAAATACATCCGTCTACATATTGTTCTTCACTTATTCAGCCAGCCCAAATCTCTAACATATAAATATCATTAACTCAACTGTAGATACTTTTACATATAACCACTATCCCGCTCATAAATGAATACCTTCTGTGTAAGAAAAACCGACACCTACCATCCAATAACAATGATTTAAAAAGTGATATCACTGGGTATTATTGTTTGAATTTGTATATAAAATTCCATTAATTTGTGGAATAATAGTCTTCTTTTGATTAGAATAATCAAGCTAATACGAATGTAAATTCAATCTTGAACCTGGTCGAACAACGTGAAATTTATTCCTAAATATGATGTTTCTTTTAGAATTTTTCTTCCCAGAAGCATTAAAGAGCGCACTCGAGGAAGGCTAAAAGTCACTTACTGTCATTGCTTAGTTCATGATTCTGATGAAAATCAGAATCAAAAAGCCTATGTAAAGTCTATCTGTTAGATGTGTGGTTTTTGAGCAATAAAAATGTGAAAATCACTGTTTGAGAGGGTATTTTGAAACTTTATATAAAGTTGTTTCTCTATGACCTTAGTAAAGTGCAATTTAATAGAATTCATCTTTGTCAAGATGATAGATGGATGCTAGATCGAAATTCATAGGAATGTGTATCAAAACCATGAATGTAATTCCTTTGCTTATTACAATAATTCATGGATTCATAAACTGACCAAATCAGATTTTGATATCGTAAATCCTCTACTGGTTTCACGCACCGCTGAGTTCAACGCCATAGATTTTGTATACTTCATTTCACAAGCAACTAATTTCATAAGATGATTTTAATAAAGCGTTTTCTAAGTCTAACCTTCCAAATAGATGGTTTGTACATTCTATTACTTTAACTATAGTTGACTAACAAACTAAAAAGTCTGATACAGAATGAACGTATCAAATGAATGAAGATAATGATTTAGGTTATTTTTCTTTGCATCCTGTGATCAACTTAACTCTGTTTAATCATTTCCTACATGTTGTTGGTTTAAATGGGACTTACAAAATTAGTAATCATAATCGTTTCCTGTATCAAATAGTAATCTTAGATTTTAATCTTATGGTAACACTAATTTGTTTCAATTACATCAAGCAAGAAACTTCGGAACTAATAACTGACTTTCGACAGTTTTTCAACCAATACTTTCTTGTTAATAAACCACTCAAATATAAACATATTATTAGTGAAATTTTTCCTAATATAGTCGACGAAAATCTAGTTCTACCATTTTATATAGGATGATCTTAATTTGCCCTTAAACTTAGTGATCATTAATCTACACAACATTACAAACACGAACAAGAGTTAGACACGAAAAGAAAGCTTTTAAAGGTAAACACAAAACTTTTCTTTATCGTGAAATCTTATCCTATTCAATCCTTGCTTAAAAACTATCAATCAGAATAAGCTGGTATAACAAAACATTGATCCTTTTGTGCAACAAAATCCTAATCTGAAGTTGAAATGTTCACCATTTTGTTTCATGGTACTTACTAACTATATTCTTTATTTATTTTTTTTCATTATTATGTGACAAGCTCATTAGGCAATATTTTGAAACCATCATTCATTTTATTTATGTGAAAATAAACAGTAAAAAAACTGGACTTTCTAACTAGTTATTTATTTTTATTTTTTGGATTGATAATTGGGTATGTTTTTTGATTAGACTTTCCAACTTTAAAAAAAAACAAAAAAAGAAGAGATTGTATGTAACTATTTTAGGTTAGTTCCCAAAATAAAACTTCAACATGTAATCATCTCACCTGTAAGCTGATACAAATCTCTCTTGTACATTTTGAACTGATGATTATGTTTAATTGTTCTTTATCAAAAAGTAACATTGATTAATAACTTCAGAAAATTGTTTTTAATGTCTTGGTACTAAGATAAGAATCAATAGTGTAGTTCCATATTCCAAAGAAATAAATAACGGTAAAGTATATACCTGACTTGTAAGAGATTTTGATTGATGGGAACTAACTAGTGTGAATGAAACAGATATCACTAACATTATTAGATTATGGTTGATTAATATAAAATTTAGAAAATATAGACCAGAGAATTCTAAGTAATTGATTTAGAAGAAATCCTCTTACCACAAGACCTGAAGATTCCTAGTCCCGGGTAGTGTCACAGGTGTTCACTTTTGATGAGTTGCAAGCTAAAACTAAAGAGGTATTCAGTCAAAGCTGGTTTCCATTGGTTGTCTAGACAAAGTTGGTAACATAAAATACGCTCAAATATCGATTTGTTGTAAAACATTACCACATTATGATATGATATACAGAAGAAGAGGATCATCGATTGTTTTGTGGTATTCATTTTAAATTTGATTATTAACTTATCTGATAAATAACTCCGCCTGCAGCTCTTATAGGGTTACTGCCGGTCCCAAGCCCGAGTAAAGGAGGAGGGTTGGGCATGGGGTTAGCGTCCCCATCCCGTAGAAAACTAACTCGCTAAGAAAACGCTAACCAGAAAAAATAATCCAAACCATTTTAACTCTGCCCTGGGAGTTAGAAGGTCTTCATTTAGAAGAATTATGACGCTTCATGGTGAAAGCCGAGTTGCTTCGGAAGCCACGAGGCCGATGCCCTTTCTAACAACCAGAGCAACAATCTTTATAGGTACATGGAACGTCCGAACAATGTGGGAAACCGGGAAGACCAGTCAAATAGCAACGGAAATGAGGAGGTACAACTTGGTAGTACTGGGAATCAGCGAAACCCATTGAACCCAAGCTGGACGACAAAGGCTCAATACGGGAGAGATGCTTCTATACTCCGGTCACGAAGAGGAAAATGCTCCATACACTCAGGGAGTCGCTCTTATGCTGTCCAAAGTAGCACGAAATGCACTTGTAGGATGGGAATCTCACGGATCCAGAATCATCAAAGCATCATTCAAAACAAAGAAGGAGGGGATCACAATGAATATTATCCAATGTTATGCACCCACCAATGATAGCAACGACGACATGAAAGATCGATTTTATGAGCGGCTGCAATCAACCATAGAAAAGTGCCCAGGAAACGACCTCACCATTCTGATGGGAGATCTAAACGCCAAAGTTGGAATAGACAACACCGGATATAAAGATATCATGAGACGACATGGACTGGGACAGAGAAACGAAAATAGGGAAAGATTTGCAAATCTATGTACATTCAACAAATTGGTCATAGGCGGCACAATATTTCCACATAAATGTATACACAAAGCTACATGGATCTCACCGGACCACACTACAGAGAACCAGATATATCATATTTGCATCAATAAAAAGTTCCGAAGGACAATGGAAGATGTGAGAACCAGGTGAGGAGCTGACATAGCTTCAGATCACCACCTAGTTGTGGTCAATTTAAATCTGAAGCTAAAGAATAACTGGACAACTGGACAAACAGCACTACAAAGGTTCAATACAGACTTCCTTCGAGATACTGACGCAACTTTCAGGACTAATATCAGAGTAACATTTGTCACTAAAACTTTTCAGGTACAGGCAATAAATCACTTTTCTACGTACAATTCAACTTTTAGAATACAGGCAAACAGCTTGCTGGTACATTTCCAAGGTCTATATATTTATATGCATAGTCAAAAAATAATAAACTGAAGAATTTGATAGGTACAAATAAGCTATAAAGAAAACTATTATAGTTCACTAAAATCGATGGATAAGTGAAAACACTGAAATCGTCAAGAAAGTGTACAAATTATACCTGTTGATCCACTTGTGTACATAATCACAGCTAAATCCGAGGGACTGGCACGTTCTGATGCAGGAGGCATCCATAAACCCTCATAACCGTTCGATGAGTGATTATTATTCCCTGTAATTGGTGTGGAACCACCCATTTTTCGCTTTTCTTTATCTTTCATGATTACTGCAGCTCCCAAACGTTCAACTTCGATTATATTGTGTAGATGTAAATTTGACGGACATTTTGTCAGAGCTTCTGCAACACTAGCGGTAGCACTTTCAGAAGGAACAGCGAGGTTGTCAACTTCTGTGTAAAGTTCTCGATTAAAAACTCCATCTGTGAAGTAGATAATACGTTGAATTGAAGGACACCGTTGAACAATTTTAATTACTTTTGATAAGAGCTCATCGCTTGTGAACACGACTACAGCCTGAGATTAAAATGAAGTCCACACATAAAGTTTTTTATTGAATATGCAAAAACATGTTTAAACAAATTGAAGTTACAAGCAAAAAATATATGATGGTTGATTAGAATCACTAACAAGCAATAAAAACGATCGTCAAGTTATTAGGTAAAAACGCAATGATAATCACTGAACAGCTGAGCTGAAATATTATCGTAGTTAGACAATTCCAGCTAATGTAACACATTACACGATGGTTCCAGCTACACTCAGCCTGCTCAGAGAGCTGATACAATTAGTTTACTAATTTATGAAGTACAGATAAGTTAAAGTACTCTACACTTACAGTATGAACGGTAGTGACACTGTTAGGTTGTAAAGCTGAAGTATAGTGGGTTCCAAACCAGCAACCCACTCGGTGAATCCCGTAAACAACGATTCTCTTACTTACCGTACTTTTATCATGTGTTGCCTCCAAACTTGACCATCCAACTATCGTCACATAGAAAGAGGACACATCAATTTATATTGTGAGTGAAACTAAATTAGAACAGAAACTACTTGCAGTTCACCAAACTATGAGTAAGTGAGAAAGTAACCAACAGGTCGGATTGAGACAGCATCAAAAGAGCTTAAATTGCTAACGAACATTCTCACGTAACCTTAGTATGTTTTATGTCACATAGTAACTTAGATGAAAGACCTTTTGTACCATGTTACTCCTTTACAGCTTTACGATACAACGAAGAAACTATCAGGGAAATACTCTGAACCAGAGAGACCGGTCAAGGACAAAGAAGGCAGGCGAATTACCGAAATTCAACAACAGCGGAACAGATGGGTAGAATACTTCGAGGAACTCCTGAATAGGCCGGCTCCAATGAATCCACCGGACATCGAAGCGGCACACACAGATCTTCTCATAGACGTCAACCCACCAACGAAGGAAGAAATCAGAATGGCCGTCAGACAAATCAAGAACGGGAAAGCAGCGGGTCCGGACAACATACCAGCTGAAGCACTGGTCAGACATCGAAGCAACTACAAACATGCTTTATCTTCTATTCAAAAAGATTTGGGAAGAGGAACAAGTGCCGATGGACTGGAAAGAAGGGCACCTCGTCAAGATTCCAAAGAAAGGAGATCTGAGCAAATGTGAAAAATATAGAGGCATTACACTGTTGTCAATACCAGGGAAAGTCTTCAACAGAGTGTTGCTGAACCGGATGAAAGATGCAGTAGACGCCCAACTTCGAGATCAACAAGGTGGATTCCGTAAGGATCGATCATGCACAGACCAAATTACAACACTACGGATCATCGTCGAACAATCAGTTGTATGGAACTCATCACTATACATCAACTTCATTGATTATAAAAAAGCATTCGACAGTGTAGATAGGAGGACATTATGGAAACTTCTTCGACACTACGGAGTTCCTGACAAGATTGTCAACATTATCCGGAACTCATACGACGGACTACAGTGCAAAGTCGTGCATGGAGGACAGCTGACAGATGCATTCCAAGTAAGGACCGGAGTCAGACAAGGCTGTCTACTCTCTCCCTTCCTCTTTCTTCTGGTGGTCGACTGAATTATGAAGACCTCGACATCTGAGGGAAAACATGGAATACAATGGACAGCTCGAAATCAATTAGACGATTTGGACTTCGCAGATGACCTAGCCCTCCTATCATGTACACACGAACAGATGCAGATGAAGACAGCCAGTGTAGCAGCGGTCTCTGCATCAGTAGGCCTCAGTATACACAAAGGGAAAACAAAGGTCCTCAAATTCAAAGCGGAAAACAACAATCCAATCACTCTTGATGGCGAAACTCTGGAAAATGTAGAGTCCTTCACATACCTGGGAAGCATCATCGATGAACAAGGAGGTTCAGATGCAGACGTAAAGGCAAGGATTGGCAAAGCAAGGACAGCATTCCTACAGTTAAAGAACATATGGAACTCAAAACAACTTTCAACCAATATCAAAGTGAGAATCTTCAATACCAATGTCAAGGCAGTTCTACTGTATGGAGCTGAAACTTGGAGAACTACAACAACCGCCATCAAGAAGGTACAAGTATTTATAAATAGTTGTCTATGCAAGATACTCAACATCCATTGGCCGGATACCATCAGCAATAGCCTTCTGTGAGAGAGAACAAACCAACTTCCAGCTGAAAAAGAAATTAGGAAAAGACGATGGAAATGGATAGGACACACATTACGCAAATCGTCAAACTGCATCACGAGGCAAGCCCTAACTTGGAATCCTGAAGGTAAGCGTGAGAGAGGAAGGCCAAAGAACACATTGCGTCGGATAATAGAAGCAGATATGAAAACGATGAATTACAACTGGACGGAGCTAGAAAGGATTGCCCAGGACAGGGTTGGATGGAGAATGCTGGTGAGCGGCCTATGCTCCTTCACGAAGAGTAACAGGCGTAAGTAAAGTAAGTTATCTGATAAATCCCGAAATCTCAGTTGAATATTTCATATTTGAATAGTAATAAAGTCAATCAGCTGACCAGCGGCTATTTCTTTCGGAATTGGTTCTATATAGATTTCATGATGTACTCCACATGATTATCCTCCATCCCGTCATTATCATTATGTAATTATATTTCACCCCATCCCTACATATACAATTTTAACATTCGGAAGGTACATATTTAATGGTTACCAAGGTTCTTAATAGTGCCATTATGTATACAACTGTTTCAATATTTATTGAGTAGAGGAAATTTTCAAATATTGAAAGTAGTTATAAGTCAACCAAAACAAACTGTAAATGAAACAAATAAAAAAAATGTAAATCATATACCAAATGTATCAGATATTTTATAAAGATTAGATGAATTCACCTATTTTATACTAAACATACTATTCATTTCATTTATATAATTGATTCCCTTCATTGTATTCATTTAAGATTCCCTTCACTGATATAAAAGCTAACCTGTTTAATTATTTCCAATTGACAATATAATATTGAAAAACCGAATTGTTAATCAATAACTAGTAAGTTTTGTTGTATAGTGTAAAAGAAGTTAAAGATTCAATTTTAAAAAAGCGGGTCTTTTTATAACTGCTCAAGATAATCATTCTAGATTGTCAATATAAATAACGGTTGTGAAAAGGTCAACTCACTCAAAGCTATACTAAAGTAGTTAAAGGTTAACTAATGATTTATTTTATTTACAAAGGTCATGTTTCAGCCTTCTAATTGTTATAGATTCTATGAATTTTTAATAATGTGAAATTCGACTATTTATGATAATTATCAGAATGGGTTTTGTGGAGATTTTAGAAATTTCACAGATTGAAATCATGAGTCAGTTGAAGCTAGACCACCACAAAACCCATTCTGATAATAATCAACTACTCACTAGTGACTGACTTCAGGAAAAACTCCCGAAGTTCTAGTGAGAAGCCGTTACCAGTGGAGTTCAACCAGGTCTGTTGTGAGATAGGAACTCACTGAAGACAATGGTGTACGGTGGCGCAACTTCGTGGATTGGTTGAAGTTAGACATTAACACCGTTGGATGCCGGCTCAATGGTCTAGTGGTTAAGTGATCGCGCTGCTGTGGAGTCCCATACTAGGATGAGACGGCCGTCCAGTGGTTCTAGGTTTTCAATGGTGGTCTAGCTTTAATTGACTCATGATTTCAATCTGTGATATTTATGATAATTTTGAATGAATTTATTTCACTTATGTTTTACCCTGTGTTTCATAGGTGGCGTCCTCTTGAACTATGTAAGGTATTTTTTCCTCAAGAGTATTGTCGTGTATACAATGATCAATTTCATATTAGGGAATGGGTTTTTGAAGGCTTTTGGTGGAGTTTTGTTCTCTGAGCTAGATGGTTTGATCGTGGAGCTTTCATCGTTATTCTGAACGACGTCATCAACACAAATTTTTAGTAGAGGTGAAGTGTTCGAATTTCTCCACATATGGCTTATAGTATGTCCTGTAGCTCCACGACCAAACCATCCAGCTCAGAGAACAAAACTGCACTAGAATATGCCACCTAACCTACAAATCTTATCCACCATCTCAAATTTTTAAAGCTTTTTTTTAATATTTATACTCATTATCTGATTACCTTTAAATGATAAGTGAATAAAAACATTCAGCGAGACTATAATTTATGGACGAGCCAATCAGAAGCGTTTGAGGGATTTCAGGGTCGCGACGCCAATTTCAATACCTAATGCTCACGTACGATCGGTTTACAACGAATTTTAGAGAAAACGTGATGACTGTGGGGGGCACAACGAATGGTATTACTAAGAAGTCCCTCTATTTGTGACTGCTGTACCGTGTGCAGACTACCATTATGAGATTGTCTTTCGATGTTATTTGTGGTGGAGGAAAAAGTCTATTCGAACAGGAACTTTCTTCGCTTCAGCTGTTCAGTGGTATGAGTATTGTAGAGCTATATGTGCAATAAAAATGATAGATTTACACGAGTCGTTTGGAGGAGTTGAGAGAATCGTTCAAGTAGACGAAACAGTAGTCAGGAAGAGAATATTCAACAGAGGACGTAGCATTAAGGAAGATTGGGTAAGTAGCACTTCCATAAATATACCTCATAGGTCCTAAGAATTTACAACAGGTCAACCCAAAAGGGACACTTTTAAGGAGTCAAAGATCTATAAGCAACGACAATAATACGAATTATACAGGAATTATACAGGAATATGTGCAACCAGGAACTACAATATATATAGATGATTGAAGAGCGTACACATGCCTGCATAGGCTTTAATTCTTTAATACTTTATACCAACTGTCTTCTGATTGGCTAATATTTCTCAGGGTCATTTAAGATTAGTTCAAAGGTCGTCCATAAATTATAGTCTCGCCATTCTTCTTTTTAGGTTCGTATTCATCCATATGCGATATTCATCACTATATTTATTTATAATTCGATGAGGGCATCCGTCTTCTCGAAGTTTTCTGCCGAACATAAATTTCTGGCTCTTTGGGACAGCATTCTTACCAACCCATA